TAGATTTCTTCCATGAATTTAATGTCACTATGTGTACACTGTAAGATGTATTTGTATGGCAGTGAAGGACATACGACGTGCTCGAATTTTGATTTTAGATCGAAATTACTGAAACTGAAACGTTCTCGGCTTTTTCAACTGTGGTGCGTGGTTCGTGACCCGGAAGGAATTTTGGTGTTTACACCATCATGTAACGTCCAGATTTTTCAAACGAAATCCCACATGTTTCAGAATAATTACATCATCAAACCCACGACTCGTTGATTTTCATCACAGTTGACTCAAAGTGCAGTATTTATATTTGGTTTTAAGAAATATTGTAGAAATGCTATCACTTAAGTTTACCTATCCTTAGATGGGATCTCAAATGTTATTTAAACACTCAAAAAGCGATTGGATTCGCCTGCGTTATAGCACGTATCGTCTAGACGTACTTAATGTTATGGCTATAAAATTGTTTATGTTTTACACTTTCCTAATAGTAATTTGTTTATTATATCTTGATATGAAATTAGTCATAACTTTTTAAGTATGATTAAAAGTTTTTAAGACTGTAAGTTTCGTTTTAACCTGAATTAAAAAAACAATTACAATTATTAATTATCTCATATGTAAAACTTTAATTTGGTTGTTGAAATTGTAAAAATATCACACATATAGGAAGAATTATTCAGTCTACCCGCAGTTTTTCTATACTTATACATGCTTTGCTGTGTCTTCGATAAAAGTGACGATGCTTTTATTCGATAGAAGACCCGGCGGAGATCAAATGGATTACGAGCCAATTATCGCTACCATTGTAGCTACTATTAGTTTTACAACTATAACCAAGGCGGAAGAACTCCTTTCAGTCTCAAACAACTCTTCCTTCTTCTCTGCAAGGAGACGAGAAAGACCTACGACCAAGAAGGACTAGAAGAGAATAAAATACCTAACAGCAAGCATCAAACAGATAATGAAAATTCTCGTAGCGTCTCCTATTTCATTTGAAGCCTTTTCCAAGAATATCATTTCAGCATATTTTATTCAGGGGCCGTCGAAATAATCAATTATTACGCATCACCGGAGGCGATAGACGTCTTCTAATGGCTCGAATTATTCAACTACCCACCGTTGATCGAGTTTATCCAAACATGTTTACAGAAGACTCGATTTATTCACTCGAATATGACGTATTCATTGAATTTCAAGATGGCTGAATGTATTAATATGTAACGGTTGCTTTTTTAATTTCCCAAAAAGAAAAAATATGTATATAACAAAATACATATTTTTTCACACAAGCACAGAGTTTACTTGGTGGAAGGTAAAATACCTCAGCGGTATATATAAACAACATGCGCTATCAACCTATTTTTTGGATATTTGGAATTCCACAGACTGACACCGAAGCCTTTAACCTTATCAAGGCTGTTTTGTCTGTGGACAGTGGTTGTGATCCCGACAGAATTTCAGTATTCTACCCACCCTTTTAATATCCATACTGCCAGCGAAGTCCAACATGTTTCAGATGAATTGTAAATTGATTAGAAACGTTTCATTGTTTTTAGGGCTGTTCAGCCGACGTGAGCTAGAGGGGATTCTCAACGTTTCACCATCACGAACGGACGGTGTCATAAAGAAATTTTAGCTCCTCGATTGCTCGAAGAACTTAGCAGCGTTCCGATATGCTGAACGATGGCCGTGAAAGAAACACAAATAATTAGAAACGTGTCTATAGTTTACGCGAGTAGTACACATTTAAATAGAACACTTTAACGGTTTAAAACGCGAAATTAGTTAAACTTATTTGGAAATGATTTTTAACTTCGGCCGAAGTCTGATCTTTGAGCAGCCTGCAGGGAGACTAAAGATTCATCGTCCGTCCGAAACGTCGGGGGCCGAAGTTAAAAATCATTTCCAAATAAGTTTAACTAATATATCGCGTTTTTAACCGTTAGTATAAGTTTTTTTTTAAATTAGAAACGTATTGGACCCGGTGGGATCGAACCAACGGTCCGAATTAAATTTAACCAAAAATGTGCTTTTGCGTGTTTATGGCAATGGCAAATGAAACAAATAAATAAAATACGACAGTCTTTATTTTAAGTAATAAGCCCATTGACAACGAAATTCAGGAATGGAAACGTAATTAAATTCAATAATATTCTAATTATTTATAAGAATCACAATTTTTAATATCTTATACACAATAATCGGTGAGTTTTTTGAAAAGCCTCGTAATAATACACATGTTTTAATTGCTTCAAGTGAAAATAAAATTAGACATCACAAAAATATAAAGGAAAACAAAGCAATGTATATTATATAAGAATAGCTAAAATAAAAAACAAATTAAGTGTATAAAACCAGAAATGATATTAATAGTTCTAGTTAAATACAAAACTATTTACGTTTGAAGCAACGGAAACATATTTTTTATATCCCAAGTTTAGCTAGAAACAAAAAGAAATATATACTTCAACATATCGTATAAAAAATCTATCAAATATTGTAGTTTCATTCCAAAACTACGTCTATAATTCATTTCAACAAGCATTCAAATATGATTTCTAATTCCTATGGCTATACAAAACGTGTTAAGTTTTATACGCTAAAAGCATTTTCTAAGAAATCTAACCTTTAGCACATAAAAGTTAACTTAAACAACTAAAAAACATTCGACTCAACATGAGTCAGTAAAAACGTCGAAAATCATTCAACAATTAATAAAATAATGTAAAATATCCTATTATCCAATTAAATACAATATAGACCGTACAATTCTGTATAATCTGGCTAAGGCACCTGTACTTTGTACTACAAAGGCCATTTTGCAAGCCGGAGTTTTCGAGATGGTTGGCCGTTGTAATTAAGCTATTTTGCGAATCGTCGAATCGTCGACGACCATTTCTCAATTACGACGGCCGACCAAGAAACCCTAAGTAGCTAATCGAAATATAGCTTACATAATATCCAAAATTAATGTAATAGTTACGAGATATACTATTTATTTTTAATATCTTTGTAAAAATATAAGATCAAATATAGCTTCACTTTAATATTTTCATCTAACAATATTTACAATATTTAAACACTAACATATAATGGACAGGGATTATCATAATGTAATGGCACGATCGGCTTTGCTTTTTTTTAATCCATTCACTTAAAATCTAAATACAAATACCATGGCACTGGTTTTCTATACAATTAGCTTCTGATAATACCCAGTTTATCTTTCGAAAAGATTTAAATATTAAAAATAGTATATTTGAATTATTAACAAAATATATATTAGTTTAAAGAAGTCGATGCGTGAAAGTGATCAAGAAAGTTTTCCTTAGAGGAGTACATAAAGACTCGAAAAGATGAGTCGTCGATCTATTTTAGCATTGAATATTCGGAGATGCATAGACTAAATCCGAAACGCGCTTAAATTTCTAGGATTTTTTTCTCACCATGATTCCTAAAGCCCAATGTGTTTTATGAAAATGAAAATTTATTAGCCAACATGTTGGCGTTGGTAGGGATCGAATTCACGACCCGTTGTTTATTATTCAAGGCCGTCTAAAACTATGACCAATAGCTTACCTGTTCAAATAGCTCAAACATTTGAGCTGTGTATTTTTTAAACTAATTACATTTTCAATTGATATGAAGTTATTATCCGTTAAATGTGAAAATTATGGATGGTAAATAAATGTTGAGCTTGGAAATAGATAAACATCTACATTAAGTATCGCAGTAAATCTAGAACTTTAGATTTGTCTACATGCTCTAGACAGAATGATGTGACTTCAAAACAGTTGGAGAAAATTAATACCTTTGAAAATTAGTGTCTGGATCTATCGTCATTTTTGTTCTATTATGTCCATATTGTCTCTGAGATCAAATCGAAATAGAGAGATCTTCGGGGCAATATAGTTATTAAGAGCCATTTTACTATTTTAATAAATGCCTAATGTCACCTAAAAATCTTAGAGTATTCTTGTTCTGGGTGGGAGCTAGGTGGCTACCAACAAAACGGTATCTAAACCTAGTTCTTCCACACCACATAAACTCTTTAAAATAAATGTGACTGGAAGAACTTCTGACCACCTGAGAAGTGTTGTATTAGTCTCCTGATATTAAGTAAAGGCTCATTAGGAATCAACTCTTCTTTGTCTTCTCTTCGTAAATAATAACATCTATCAATAAGTTGGTATTTCAGCAACACTATAAACCTTCCCAGGGTAGTGTTAAATTCTCAAGTCTATTTTTATTTAATACAATTTAGAATTCCTTTCGAGTCAGGACTATTGCAGACCAATTTAATTAAAACACTTTAACGGTTTAAAACGCGAAATCAACGGGGCGACACCAGTGACCATAGCTGCAAAGCATCCAAAACGTGGGGCCGTAGTCAAAATAATTTGTAAGTAGTTTGTAACTGATATTTGTCGCGTTTTAAGCCGTTGAAGTGTTTTATTTAAATGTCCTCGCGTAAACAACAGACAGTGTTGGAGACCTATCAGATGAAACTGGTCCTAATACTTAAACTAGTGACGATAACTGGCCATCTGCCAAATAATAAAACATCTTGTGATAACCTACTGAAAGCGTCATACGCGTCTATCACAAATGCCCAATCGAATATAGCAGGTGTCTATACTTTTTACAATTTTGTAAAAATACTTCCGTATATATCTTATATAACACAAGCGGGATTTAAACGGGCGAGAGTACGCGCCGAAGCTGTTCCTATCGTTAGGCCGTCGGACGTCAACTTTCCAATAATTGGAACTCCGACGCGTAGATGTCAAAATATACAGTTCTCTTCCAACTTATGGCCGGGATGAAATTAGCGCGACCGCCATCTTGCGCATTGTAGTGTCAATTTTAAGTAAAAAATCGAGTCGCTCTGCACCCGCGCATCCTCTTATCGCAACTGATTTTGCGTTCTGCGCAACCATCCGCGCTAACTTCAGCCTGGCCAAAGAACTGTATATAGGTTTCAAAGGCATCCAATTGGCCAGTTTTCAATAGAATTTGTCCTCCTCTACGTCCAGGTTGTTTTTTGTGCTCGGTTGGTTCGAATGCCTCCGCAGAGTACCCATAGAGTCATATTCGTTTGCTATTGCTTTGGGGTACAGTTTTGGAGTCGTGACACCATTGTTGTGGTTGTTCGCGTTGGAGATGTTCGTTGTTTTTAGAAGCATACCGCTTGTGCCACCGATTCCGGAGAAGGACGGTTGTCTCTTAGGTTTTCTGGGCTAAAAATTAATGTATTATTAGTTCGGAATATTTCGTACTTTCCAACTGTTATTGCTCATGGTGGCATTATATAATAAAATTTCTTTTGATCAAACATTTTTACAACACGGCATGGACTTGAACCGACAGCCACGACGTTCCATGGTGCTCTAACCAATTTTGCTATCGGGTACACGGTAAATCAAGTCTTGCCCGTATCTTATTTTTTCTTAATCCAAATAAACTTTTAAATTGTATTATAGGCTTCTGTTTCTTGCGCAAAAAAATAAAATGAAATGCTTTATAGTAAACATTGAAGAGTCTTGTTATTTTTTTAGCAAATGTAATAAGTTTATTGCATAAACAGACAAAGTGCTGGTTGATTTCTTGGATATGTTTTGGGTTCAAATCCCTCAAAACACTACTTTTCGACTTATCCCAGACATACTTGGGAGACAATTGGAAAATTGGCGATGGAAATAAACTATGTCCCCTACTACTAGTAATAAAATAAACTTACTCTATCCAATGGCACGGTGACGTAGCTGTTCTGCTTGGCAGTTATGTAGTGAGGACTAGAAGGCACCCGGGTGGACCTCTTCCATGGTGCTGAACCACGTCGTTGCAGGAATATAACAGCACCCAGACATACAAGACAACCTATGGACATATTGTAAACTCATAAACTGGATCCTAAATTAGTATAAATTTTTTTATTTGATAGGGAAAGTAAGTAGTGATAAACCATATCAAGAGGTCAATAAAAAAAAAAAAAAAAAAAAAAAAAAAAAAAAAAAAAAAAAAAAAAAAAAAAAAAAAAAAAAAAAAAAAGGGGGGGGGGGGGGGGGGGGGAAAAAAAAAAAAAAAAAAAAAAAAAAAAAAAAAAAAAAAAAAAAAAAAAAAAAAAAAAAAAAAAAAAAAAAAAAAATGTGGTGTTTTTTTGGGGGGGGGGGGGCCAAAATTCCCCCGGGGGGGGGGGGGAAAAAAAAAAAAAAAAAAAAGGGGGAGGAGGGGGCCCCTGGGGGGGGGGTCGGGCCCAATTTGGGGGGGTTTTTTCCCCAGGGAGGAAAAAAAACCCGGTACTAAGAAAAAAAAAATAGTAAGAAGGAAATTTAAGATTAGACAGGCTTCATGTGCTTCAGTCCATATTATCATCACTTATTTAAAAAAATTCTACGAGTTTTGGTCTTAGCATTAAAAACCCTTTATTCTATGACAGTAGACCTATGTCCAGCGGTGGGATATTAATGAGACAACGATACACACCGATAACAAAAGCGGCGACAACACATCCGACGATACCTCCAATGCTGAGCGATTCGTTACTCATTGTCACAAAAGAAGCCATCTCTACTCCTTGGCTGTACGCTGGCATTGCATATAGCTCTGTTGAAAAATTTTAGTATTTAATAAAAATATAAAAAAACGGCTGCATATAGTTTTTCTTAACACGTTTGAAATGCAGAATATATCAGTTAAAGTTAAAAATCGATTATATATTGAAAAAACAATTACTACACAGGCAGGGCTTGAACCGGCATTCACAGCGAACAGTACTATTGTTTTAACCAATTGAACTACCGTGTCCTTTTTTAAGTTACTACTTTTTTTGTAGCATTTTAAACGGATCATGTAAACTAAAGGTGAATAAATAATTATCCTCACCATTGTCCATAGTGTTGTCAGAGTCGCAACGCGCAACTTGCAACTGCGCACCGACGCATGCGCCGGTTTCGCAACTCCTGCGTCTCACTCTCTCGCCGCTCTCGCATTCACCCCACTGTCCCCAAGAACCCCAGCCTGATTCCGACTCTGATAAAGAAGGAAAATCATATAAGCATGCTGATTCAAATAGTGTCTGTAGTTTACGAGAGTAGTACACATTTAAATAAAACACTTTAACTTTGATATAAGATTTTTGTGTACCTGCGCAAGTATTAACGCATATCCTCCTTTCTAGCGCAGCACCTGCGTCAGCGCATCCTTCCGGAGAGAGACACATCCGGGTGCGGGATCGATGTCCGGTAGCACCAGTGTCACAGCTACCGCTGCATTCACTCCAGTCGCTCCAACAAGACCATTCACCTGTATTTGTAAAAGTATAAATTTGTAAAAATAAATCTATTCATTAATATAGCAATGATTGATTATTGTGACTACTAATATCAGTGTCGGAGTAACTTACTATTATTTTAACAAGCTGAATCTCTTACTACATTTATTTTATTTTATTCAATGCCTAGGTTAGTAGGGCGGGGTGTTAATAAGGTAGGCAAAATAGCCATATAACATCTAAAAAAGATCTGCTGTCGACCTATTTTGGCTTTGGGTATTCGGTAATCTAGACTGCAATCGAAATTAAAGTAGACGAATATTTTATCTGTAGACGTTGGTTACCCAGACAGAAATACGACATTCCTATCACCAATTTAATAAACGTGACTGTACCTACCATTACAAGCATGTGTATTACAAGCTCTGAGCATATCTGATGGGCCACTACATGGTGGTCTTCTGCACCTCCTGGACCTGGCCTGCTGGCCACCTCCACATGGGGCTGAACAGGCCTCCCAGGGCCCCCAGCCATCCCAGCCGTTGTCTTCCTCTGGAGGAGTACTGCTGCAAGCCCCTTGTGCGTTGCAGTATCTTTCTTCCTCCCGGGCTAGTGACAGCTGTAATAAATTGTTAAATTAAAGCAAATTGTAAAAATATAATCTGTATTATGACGTAATTTTGCTAATAAACACAACTTTAAGAAGACCCCCGTGCTCACTGATGCTGCATTTGTAAATAAGTTTATCTAATACATTTCGCGTTTTAAACCGTTTGAAGGGTTTAATTTAAATGTGTATTACTCGCGTTAGCTACAGACATTTTTAAATACAATTATTATAATCAATAAGACAAATTTGAATAAGAAAGGGATGAAATTAACACAGCAACTTTAAACCATAGATAAAAACGGTATACTATACACCAGACCATAGATACCAGAGATAAATGATTCTTACCCTTATTTGTTCGGGCGTAGGTGCTTTACACAAGAATTTGAACCGCTTTTCTGTATAACTGCCATCTGTTGCATTTCCTGAAATTACGTGAAAATTATATATTCATTAAATCTAACTATAATGTCAAATTGTTATATGCTATGAATTATTATCCGATAAAAAGGTAGATATATCTGTGCTATTACTTTTTTTTTAGATTGAGGACAGACAAGCCATACAACATCTACACACATATGAACATTTCCAGACGAAGTCCAACGTGTTTCAGAAAAATTATACATCGATTACGACGCGTTGTTTATTAGCTTTTACGCCAACTAGGTCGTCAAATTACAGGTATATATAGCTATTAATGCTAATAATGTTATGATGACATATGTCGTTTAGGATTATTACAAAAGGCCTGTTACAATTTCTGTCATCTTACCTAACATTTGCACCCAAGGCGTCCAAGCAGTGGCCTTCCTAACTTCGCAAGGACGTAAGTCGCAGGGTTGTCTCTCGTATCTTGAACCTTCGCAGTCCGCGCCACCATGTTTCGGTGCTGGGTTACTGCAATTGCGTCTTCTCTCGCGTGCACCAGCATTGATTCCACAACCCACACCAGAGCACGGAGACCATTGACTCCATGGGGACCAACCGCCATCCACTGGTGCTAAGTTTGGATCTGGAAGTAATGAACACAAACATATTTTTTAAATTTGAACCAATAGTTGCTGAAAGTAACGTGTTCAAACAAACAAACTCAAACTCAACGCTCTATATATTAGTATGGATATCGGAACAAGAGGTGGGGTTGAAGTCGCACGTGACTGTGACGTCACGTCTTGAGGTATGTGGTGGCCTGAGGTGGAGTGAGGTGGTTCCCTTTATTTTATTTATTAGCCAGTTTAACTACTAGACGGTTCCATTTCAGATAAACCATTCCATAGGCATATAATTATTTTGATCTTCTCTTCTACTTTTAACACAAAATACATTATAAATAAAATATATATAATAATATATATCATATATATACTATTTGCTTACTGATGAAAGTTTTAAAAATACAGTAACGTACCTGGACATGGTGGTAGATTGGCACAGTACATATCATTGGAATCCAAGCCAACACACACTCGTCCGCCGAACTTTGGTTCTGGTGAGGTACAGGTTCGACGCCTGGACTTGACAGCGATCCCGCATGTCGTAGAACATTCAGACCACGCAGACCAGGCTGACCAACCGCCGTGAACCGTGCAGTTCGTTACTGCTATGCTGGCTCCTGAAAAGCATTAAAATTAATACATTTCCGATTAAAAGTATAGACAGATGTCTAACGAAAACAGGGATTGTTTTAATTCAAAAAAAGGGGGTATATAAAGTGTATGTAAAAAAAGGTTATGGATTTATTAGTATAGACGTCAGAAACTACAACAATTTCTTACTTATTTTTAATTAAAATTGTCACTAAGCAAGAGATATTAGATACTATATTCGTAAACCAGAAAATTCGTTTTTTATTATAAAGGGTGCGCAAGGCTTTACTTGTTTTTATTTACAAATTTAAACAGACACAAAAATATGTACGTAATACGCAACGAAGGGTTTCACTGCAATCCTCAACTGAGTTGACTTGTGAAATTGAAATAGAAACGATAAACAAATTAAGGTCTCACCTGCACATTTTTGTCCGCCATTAGCCGGTTTGGGGTTGTCACAAAGTCTCGTGCGACACCTACACATGTCAGGTTTATCATCGCCGAAAGTATTATGCGGTGATCCGTCTTGCATGCATGGCTCCCATTCCGACCAAGATGACCAACCGCCATCGACTACAAATAAACAAAATTATATCTGTTATTTCCAAAAAAGGTACACATTAAAAGAGTATAATTACATTTTAATTATTATTACAAAGCTAAATAATTTATAGTTCTGGTGAGCAGTATACAGTAAAGTGAAATAGGTTTTAAACGACCCAACAAAAATAAGTTTCTGAAACATCCGGTCGTCAAGTCTTAATAACATACACACAGGAGTTTAATACTGTTATTTTTTGTTTGGTTGAATTTTAAAAATACATGTAGCTAATCATGGCATTGCGTTAAGCGTGGGAGGTTTTAACCTGGGTTAGAACGCGAGAAATTTGTTTCGATCCGGTACAGCACATCTGATCACTACTTGCTAGTAAACAAAAAAAACCGATGAGAGAGACAGAAATGTGTCAAAATTTGCCCAATACCCCATGACCCACGGAGTGAGATTTTATTTTTTTATGATACTTTAGTACATATTATTAAGAAGAAAACACAATGTTCAATTCGAAAATATTCATTTATTAGCCAAAATCAGGCGTAGCCGACAAAATGCGCGCGTCGTTCGTATCTGACAGTTCCTAAGCTAGTGCGGGGCGCGCGCGTTGATCGCGTCGCACTAGTCTTGTCTTGTCCTCACTTAGTCGGAGGATTATTCATATTAATATAACTTTATATAGTCGAAAATTTGGAGAGAATATTTAGTAACTAATTTTAATTTAAAAATCGAAAATACTTGAATCGGCATGTGCATGTATCAATAAATTGAAAAAATCGGCGATGAGGTGTAGGTCGGTACTCGGTACTCGGTAGCTCAATTGGTAGAGCAACAGCACGGAACGCTGACGATGCCGGTTCAAGTCCAGCCCGAGTCGAATTTTTTTTTTCAATTTATTTTCTATTTTAATTATATAGTGCCTTCATGTACATAATAATAAAATTTAAAGTCAACCCTAATTTTTAGTAAATAATAGTGAATAGTAGGAGAATAATTATAAGACGAAAACGTATATTGTAAGTTTATGTTTTGTGTTCGTAATAAGAGCTTTTTACCATTCCATTTACAGTACATACTGCAAATACTTACCAGGTGTGCTAATTGTGGGACAAGCGGCTGTATTCTGTATAAAGTAAGCGTGGTGGAGGTGAGGTGTGGCCCGAACACAAATTTCTCTAGCATCGTCCCAGCCGCAATGAGGGTCGGTAGCGCCGACGCAGCTGGATCTGCTTTTGTACCGAGAACAGCGTTCGCTGCCAAGTCTTAGCACGCCGGTATCACTGCCTATGTACAGGGACATCTGAAATATTGTTTTTTTTTCTTTAAGGACATTCACACAGATGAAAAAGCTGTTCAGTTTAATCGGTTATAATCCGTGGATTTTAGAATCCAAAGCCTAAATATGTCGATAACGTTTATAGGGCTGGGATATTTCACCTACCAACAAGTGAACCCGATAGTAGTCTGCACACATACAAACAAGATGTGCTATCGACCTATTTCTTTATCTTAGTTTTCCAACTTTCTAAATATGCTAGTAAGAAACCCTGTATCCGCCCGGGAAATGGGGTAAACACATTTCTGTGTCACTGATCGCTTTTCTTTTCAGGCATGTAGTTGATCAGCTCGACTGAAACAATCTGTTGATTCTCGGGTTTCGAAGTCAGAATCTGTTGATTCTCGGGTTTCGAAGTCAGAATCTCTTGCGTTTAATCAACGCTGGGCGCTCAAATATGTACATTATGTATGTGTATTTAGTTTAAAAAATGATATGTAGAATATTATTGTTTAAACTAGATTGTTTAATTAAATTTATCTAGAAAACATAGGTATAAGAAGCCTAAGCTTTTTATAGTAAAAACAATTGACACTTGACAATTAAATAACAGATAAGAATAAAGCAACTCACCGAATCTTTAACAAACTGCATCGCTCGTATATCGTAGCCGCCACTAGCGTCTTTGAGTTTCCAAATCTCCACGACGCATGCGCCCTCATACCGCGGCAGTATTGCCAACTTCACAACATAACTCTTCTCTGTGGCCACGAAAGCGACGAGCTGTTTTCCCATGGTTTTTGTGTTGGCAATATCAACTGTAACGTGGGTGAATCGTTCTAGTACCGCTTTGTAGACAGGTTCTCCAGATATAGGTTGAATAGAATCGTACATCAGATGGTAGCGGTGGTATTCAATTGGTGGTCTGAAATGGTAAAGCATTTTAGTGGTACTATAAATTAAACAGATTCGTACCATTTAAATAAAACACTTTAACGGTTTAAAACGCGATATATTAGTTAAACTTATTTGAAAATGATTTTTAACTTCGGCCCGACGTTTCGATAGAGATTCGTACCACTTGTGTACAAGGTTATAAAAAAAGGCCGCGAAAGATAATAAAAACATTGTAATAAGGATTACTGCCTTAATGATTTAGTGATCATACAACACAATGAGGCTCCAGATTCCTGAGTCCTGGGTTGGGCGAAATTCTCTTTAGTATTTGGAGGCCCGAAAGCCCAGAACTTAGAAGTAGAGTAGGTCTAATCACTCTCATACCGAAGATCACGTTAGGCCATCGGTCTCCGTTATCACGAGTAATTTAGTGGCGAAAGTTGTTGAATTGTGCCACTTGGAAAACGTCTTGCGTTTAAACACTCTCCACAACGAGAGGAGACCTGTACCCAGCAGTGGGACATAGCTTGAAACTGCATTGAACAAGTTGTAATGCGAATAACAATGGAAATGAACATAAATTACGACTCCACGTTTATGGATGATTTGCGGAACTCACACATATTAACTTGACAACAAATAGCGTTTCAATTCGGCCAAAATAGTAGTCTAGTAGAATAATGATAATGATATAATTTATACACTTACCTAGTATCAGCCATACACTTAAAATGGTCCCTGGCTTCTCTCGACGGAGATTTCGGCTCCCAAGTTGATGTCGGCGAATCCTGAACCTTGTACGGCCCTTCAAATGCCGCTAAAATATCTGACATATTGTATACGCATAAAGCACTGCCCGATATGCTGTTTCTGTGGAAATGTTGAGATTTTCATAAGAAACACATTCATGTACTAGGAAAACGAAAGGTATATCTGGCTCGAAGGACCAAAACCTACACAGTGGAAATTTAGTCCTTCGGTAAAAAAACTCAATAGTTAACTTACGCAGGTGTACTAAATACAGCGACCAAAATTTTTTCTTGTGGCAGATACTCCACGCTCTGTACTTCATCGTAATTGAACGAGACATCTCCTGGTACTGAGCACTTGAGCCTGGCCTTCAAAAAGGTACTCCAGTTGTCCTTCATTACCAAGTGACCCCCAGAATCATTTTTGCACACACGAGCAATACGGGAATAGATTATCTGAAAACAAATGAAAGTTTTGGAAAATTTACTTTTTGTATTTCTTTATCAGCTATAAAGATATCCTACAGCTTTTTAAATGCACAGTCGGTTTCAATAATTTTAAGTTTTATAGTATCCTAAATCACGTGACCTCATTTTACAAAATATAGTAATAAATAATTCATAGTTTCGTATACTTTCAGAAACATCATTTATAATAGGATTAAGTTTATTACTAAAGCCATTATTTTAAAAGTAAATGACAGCAATCCGTGTTAATGATACTGAACATTAAACGCATCTCTTACGGTCAGGAAGTGCCTTGACAGGTTAAACACCTGTTATAAGTCATTATTGAACGCGGAAATCGATAAACTCACGTTATGTATCGAAACTATGCGTTTACGCATGAGGGATAAATCATGTCATTGCATTTACATACTAAGTATTACATACGTTAATTGAAACGCAAGAATATTGAGATATTTATCATTTAAATTTTACATAATCAAAAAGAAAACAAATCATTTCGAGGAACAGTTTTTAACGCCTAGTAGCGGCGATAAAAGGTGTCCCTTAAACGTAATACAATTCATAGTTATCATTTGGCCACGCCCCTTGAGTGGCTATACAATAAATTTATAGACATATAATATATTTATAGACAGACAAACAAACAAATTTAGACGAAACTAAATAATTTTTAAAATTTTAAAGAGTTAAAAAAATATATTTTCTTTTTATTTCATACAATTTTCCTCATTACTATATAGTATATTATAATTTTATTATAATTTTATTATTAGAAGACATCTCTCTTACAAGGTAAATATTTTGCCCTCCTTCCCAACTCTGGCGCAATATGGTAATGGAATTGAATATTTTAAATCTTGTTCCTAATGACAGGTTAAAGACATACAATCCAACCATGGATAAAATATTTCAATCGCGCTTAAATTGTAGAGGAAATCGATCGTAACTCGACTTATCAACGGATTAGTTCCGCTAAGGGAAATTCAATTTATATTCACAATTCAAATGAACTATTGAATAGCAATGTTATTTGTGTACGATTGCCTCTATAAAAATGTAAATAACTTTGACAACGTACAAATACTTTGAATTGTAAAGTAAGTTCCTGCGTTAGTGTAATAATTCATTTTAGACTCTAACGCTAAGGGATAGAGATGTTTATTAAACGAGGGAAGGAGTGTAATGTCATTGATGTTATAAATCGCAAACCGTTTAGGCTTAACTCAACAGCACACAGCAAGATTACCTTTTGAGAGCTTATAAAGTGTCTAAGAAAACAAAGTAACACTTAAAATGTATTAGTTAGTGCTGTTGTGTGTTTGTGTAAGAATTAGATTTTTGTTATAAAGTCATACATTTGATGATGCCAAAAATGGAGACATGTACAATAAAAACTCTGAAAAAACTATTACGAGCTTTGACTATTTAAAACTATCTCGAACCTCAGATAAGAGGTAGATTTTCGGTTCCAAATATCACTAATTTAGTGGCGGTAGTTGTTAAACCCTCTAAATTTCATTAAAGCAGTGGGTCTGTACCCAGCAGTAAGATTTATAGGTTTGGACAAGAATAAAACAAATCTAACATTATTTAATTAACATACCTTTCCACAGTTCAAATGTTCCACAGCCACTTCCCTAAACACGAAGTAGACAAAATGGTCGTCTTCAAAACTACCCACAAACTGGGGTTCGTTTAGCCAGTTCAAGTCATACTGTGTCGTTCGTAGCATACTCGTGTTGCGAGGAGACGCTCCATGGTTCCTGGAAGAAGATTATATGTTGATTAAAAAGGCAACAAGGTTATAAATAAATGTATATAAGTTATGAGTAAGTTTTTGTATTTTTTCATGTCTCTAACCAATAAAACTTTTAGACAAAAGTACATAAATTACTTTTGGCTCCGACAAAAAAATTCCTCTTAAAGGACCGTAGAGGACCGGTGTTTAGTGGTTCTAGATGACTATTGTCTCCGAGGAGGTTGCCCAATATGGACGTTTACTAGCAATTCCAGATAAAACTAGGTGCCCAAAAAGAGACTGCTCTATTTTCGTTTACACTAGTTAGGTAATAATCTGTTTACATTGTTGAATAATTGTATATAACTAGACTTGATACTTGATTTAAAGCTACTAACCTGCAGATAGCTGTGTCAGAGCTGGTGAAGTCAGTGGGAGTTCCGGCATAGTATTCGCCACTGGAAGTGAGGATCGCTGTGACGTTCGAATGGGGGTTGTGAGGGCAGTTTGGCACGCCAGATACCCATTCTGATATTAGGTTTAATGACTCGATCTAGAAAAAAATGAATAAACCAACTGAATAAGAATAATTATATGGTAGGTACAATTGTAAAGAATTCTAAGGAGTTACAACATAAACAGTCGATAAAGATTTTGGTTTTAGTCTGTGGATTTCTTGATATCCAAAGCCAGAAAAGGTCGATAGCGCATCATGTTTAGTTGTCATATGGCTGGGTATTTCACCTACCATCAAGTGAACATATGCTTATCTGTCCTTCTCCTTTCTTTAAAAAAATATATATATATATATATATATATATATATTACAATCCACATGTAAGAACTTCTTACAATTTATCGCGGCTTTTCGGTGGATTTTTGGTTGAATTTTTTTGAGCACTAAAAATTCACTTAGTACTAATCTTACATTGTTTTCGCTTATTTTATACCTATTATGACTCTTAGCTAAACTGGGACAGTTATCTTTAAATAGTCAACAAAAATCCTCCATACAAAACCTTCTATTGTAATTAGAAAATAATATATTTAAAAACACGCGTCAGAGATGACGAAGCATTGACCTAAAGAGACTATACGACCTACTTAATTAGGAAGCCAGCTGATTTATACTTCATTATCAAGCCACCTAATTATGATAAGATAACTTTAACGCCCTTGTTCTTTGATTTCATACGCAATTTTTCTTAGAACACTTCTGTGTTGTTTACGAGTTTAAGAATGACGGTTTTAAGCGGTCTTCATCGAAACTAAGCAAACAGGAGACTTATATTTATTTTACGAAACTTAAGATCAGCAATATTTATGATTGTATATTTTGTTGTGTGTATAATTTTATAGAGACACAGCTTTGTGTCTTCTATTTGAAACGGAAGAGTTTAATTTTAAAAAATAATTTATTTACGTTAGTAAATGTTAAATTAGGAATTTAAAATAAAAACACTTTTAACTTATTTGAACTACGGCTCGATATTTCGGATGTAATTTCGCGTAAACTATAAAAATACATACCTTATTAAAGTTACATTAATAAAATTGCCTTCTATCCTAGTATAACCTAATTAAGTGCTTACATAACCATAATCTTTCTATAATATCACTTTTAAATCACGGCTTAAAGAGGCAAAGTAAATATTTTCTCATAAGGAACCAGTATAAATGTCTCTTTTTGTTCAACCTCGTTAGTTTATTTATATAATTTATATTGACAGGTCATTTGTGCATATAAATTAGCGAAGACAGGTACCTAGGTGGCTTAATTTTTTGCAGGCTTTTACTTAAACGAAAATGATTTACGAGCTATTGACTATCCCACGACTCTGAATACACGAGTAAATAATTGTTAGATTTTATTACTTAAATATCAAATGTATGGACTAAAAACTTGGTTTCTGTACTGTACAGTAAAATAAATATCCATTTATTTTTTTTGTAACTAAAAATTGTACTTTTTATAACTAGATTTACAAAACGAAGAGTTATATATCACGTTTAAAATGAAACAATATCAAAAAATCAAAGATCTATACTACTTCTGTATAGGCTTGTGCCATGGTCGAAACATCTGTGTAAGCTAAAAATTACGATCGATTGTTGTTCTTTGTTATTTGTACGATTTTATAATGCACCTTATTTTCTACTAAGAAACTCTCGTGTGTGTAGTGTCGTCGTAAACGTCGGGCCGAAATTAAAAATAATTTTCAAATAAGTTTAACTAATATATCAAACGTTTTAAACCGTTAAAGTGTTTTAATTAAATTTTTACTACTCGCTTAAACTATAGACAGTATTTAGAAGGATTTCTCTTTAAATGATCTAAAAAAAATGTCCGCGACATTTTATGTCTATCGTTTAAAATTAACTTGCAAAAACGACGGGACTACAATTGTTTGCAAAGCTGAGGTGATTGTTTGCGGAAATAAATCTGGACACCCAAATAAATATCCCACGCAGACGAAGTCGTGGAAACAGCTAGTATTAAATAAATATAATTCACAAACCTCTCTCCAACTGCATACAGGACTGAACGCGTTAGTTCCACAGGCGAACAACTTGTGGCCATACGAGAGCAGAACTTTGATATAGTTATGGCAGTCTTCTTCTGTCTGGCCTTTATCCTGGCAGAGCTTGGACTTGTCCGCCGGCGCTGGCCAATCAGCTCGCTCCAATTGTCGTAGGCCACGTAACGATAGACGGTACATGGTATCTCTGAAATAGAAATATGGGTATTGTGAATTGTGTTATATTAACTTGATTTAAACTGAATAAAATGTACTAAGATATATTATTTGTTTTCGTTAAAGATGACCTGTATTAGTAATTCACATTATATTACTATTGTTTCTTTGTATCTAGGATTGCTTTTAACATGAATAATGCCGGATTCAAGCCTCGGGAAAAAAAGTTAGAATCTTTCCGAAAATCCCCGTTTTCCATTTTATTAGACAAACAAAAGAAAAAATATATGCTAGTTAGTGAATAAAATATATGTCTGTACTCTGTAGTAAAATAAAACCCACTTAAAGAATTAATTATCGGCTACAGTACACAATTGTACTACGTCTGCGAACCTTAATATTTTTCACAAGTTATGTTGCACATAATGGCACTATATAAATTAAAAACCGATCAGATTAACGTGTAGGACACCGTAGCTTAATTGGTTAAAGCAACAGCACAGAACGATGTGGACGCTGGTTCAAGTTCTGTCCATGTCGTAAATTTTTTTCAATCTAAAATCGATTGTTAACTACGATTGCTGTAAATTATCTTAAAATTTTGATACAATTTTCATCTTAAATAGATATGAAAAATTATTGTGGGAACATTTTTATAACCATAAAAACCTCTCAGATACAAAGTGATTTAGTTGTCCACGTTGATATTTCATAATAAATTAACATGATTCTGTAATAAAAATGCCATTTCCCAAAATGACACAATCACACAGCCCACAGACTGCAGTAGATCTACCAACGCAGTAACCTTCTGGGGAACATGTTTGATACATAGCTAATATGGAATAATAACAAATATCTTTGCTCGTAAAGATATAATGACATAATTGATTAGGCTTTTTATATGACACAGGAGGTGTCGATATCTCGATATCATCGATCGATATTCCTGCCACCCATTTAATATTCGCATTTCCGAATACAACCTGACATATTGTATAGCCCCCCCGTGACCATAGCTGCTGCAAAGCACCCGTAAAGAAAATAATTTGTAAATAAGGAAACTAATAATACATGTCGCGTTTTAACCCGTCAAAAACCCGTTAGTGAGACATGAAATATATTTAACAATATTTAAAACGTGTAAAACCACCGCATTTTCCAATAAGCAGTCTGTGATATGCCACAGATAAAGTAAACTAGAAATTTGCCTAATGGGGAAAGCTTTTGCATTCAAATGCATTATTTGCGTATCTGAATTAGTTTTTAATACTGCGTACGCGCAAGCACAGTAAACAAATAACCAGTTTCGTATTACCTAGTACTAGCTATCCAATAAAGCGAACTATATGAAATTTAATATGCTTGTGAACATACGCTATAAGTGGGAGAGGAGCCGAGCAAGTTACGATATTCAAGTGCGCATCTGGCTTTATTTACATTTAATGCTCACTTAAATCACGTTACAGAGGCTAACGTTTCTGAAATGGAATGCCGGGGAAACAATAGTTCAAATAAATTGTGTAAGGCTTTCACAGCTATCGTTTATCATATCATTATTTTTCGGCCGACGTGAGCGAGGAGAGGTTCTCGACGTTTCGCCATCACGAGCGGACGGCATCATCACGATATTTCAACTCCTCGAGATCGAAGAATTTCCGATGATACATCAGGACGTCTCCAAACGGCCGAGAAAACCAATGATAAACAGTATATTGTTTCGGTGGTGCAGGACACATTGATATCATCAACTACTTGACAGTAAAGAATGCGGTCAGCGAAACTATCAAATTATATTTCACCGAGATTCGACCTTAGGACATCTATCGCCGTACATGTTAAGTGGCAAAAGAGGGCTTGTTAAAACCGGTAAACATCGAACTCATTATCCGTTGCTAAGGCGAATGGATCAACAAATAACCAAAAATAAAGATATATTCGTCTCATTCAAACTCACTTCTTTCACAAGACACATATAGGTAAAATCACTCAAAATCGGCGTATTACTTGCTTCTCGGTACAACCAAATCTTAGTGGTGTCCCTCCATATACATAATTTATAAGTATTATTATTTTGATTTGTTTCAGAATCATTTAAATTTAAAAATCGGAAAAGAAATTGAAAAAGTGCTCGACTGGGGCAGGACTTGAACCGCCATCGTCAAGTTCCGTGCTGTTGCCCTGCCAATTGAGCTACCGAGTCCTACACCACATCGTCGAATTTTTTTCAACTCATTGATACATGCACCTCTCTCGCAATGTATCTAATATAAACTGTGTAAAAAAAATACACCGGGGATAAGGAGCCACAATGAACTAGGAAACTACAAACTATGTACAATAAAAAAAAAGATAATTATCCAAATGATATAAAACATAAACTTCGCCACTCGTCATTCGAGGATTTATAAATAGAAAGTGAAATATTCATAAGCGTTAACTCAAGATAGCGATAACCTCGCGATTACGACCATAAAACACTCCGATCGGAAACCGCCTTTTCTCTTCCTCTTAACTGACAAATAAGGGCCGCTGAGCTAAAATTTATTCGCACTAACTACTGGCTTTATTGACCCGGGAGGGCGGGAAGTGCATTCTAGAACTAATTGTCGTTTTCGCTATATTGTGTTGTATAGACGTATTTTGATGAATAGTGACATAGGAAAAAGACATTTAGCGATAAATAACCACCTCTGTAACCAAATGGTTAAACGTATTGCCTTGCATTACGCGCGAGATGTTTTGGGTTCGAATCCCAGAGAAACAAAAAATGTTTCGGTCGGGCAGGGCACAGAAGTCTGATCAACTACTTGCCTGTTAAAGAATCTGTGAAACGGACACAGAAATGTGTTCGCCTCAAGCCCCACGATGGGGAAACGGGATTTCACACGCACAAGATGCGATAGAAGTTTTGACAATAATTATTTGATTATTGTATAAGAATTTCAGTATTGTATGTAAAGGGCTGGATATGGTATTTTGTAGCTAATTTTAAATAAAACACTTCAACGGTTTAAAACGTGATATATATAAGTTAAATTTATTGAAAAATATTTTAAATACGGCCCGACGTGCTTTGCAGCAGCCGTGGTCACGGTGAGACGGTATTTTATACCGTTAAAGCGTTGAAATAAATGTGTACTACTCGCGTTAACTACAGACAGTCTTTGTAGCTACTTACTTACGAGTAGGCCACAAGGTTTGTTGGACGCCAGTGGAAGAGTCTTCTCTCTTACTCTTTAACAGGAATAATTATTTTTGCTATAATTAAACTTTATCGAGTTTTTGATCATTCGAAATATCAATTTTTTTCTCTCTCAACAGGTGTAATATGGCCGGGGCATTACACCTTACATCAAGTGAACCATAAATTCCGTTCCATGTCATTTAAAATACTCTTTATTATTATATTATTATATCTAATATGTTAGTCCCACTACAACGTGTGCGAAATATTAGAATGTCGACAGACGAACACCTTGACATTCTAATACAGAGTTATGATTAAATTCAAGATCTTACATTTAAGACTTAATCACGCATCGTGGAAACATCACCGAACTACAATATAATATGATATGCGGTCAGTCCAGGTGTAAAAGAAAAGTTAATAGGTGCTTAGAAGATATTTGATTGAGGAATTAAATATTTTTTATATTAAAGAATTGCCCCAGTCATGGTCTTATAAATAAGATGCGCGGTCGACTCTTATTTACTTCAGACATTCAAACATCCAGCGAAACACGAGTAGGTATATTTTATTTTCGTATTTTTAGTGTGATTTCGTCCAGATTTTTCCAGACAACATAACTTGAAAAAATAAAAGTACATTCAAGAGACATTCTGGACTTGGCAGGAATCGAATCTAAGTCTTTATTAGTCATTGCTACCATAATCCGCAAATCTAAAGATTAATATTCTATATATTTTTTTTTTGATACCGCTGATTCTTAAATGATAAAAATATTGTTAATTTAATACATATAAACGACCGCATATCGAAACGAGATTTTTGAGATGAAATTACGTAAACTCATATTTCTAATATGTACGATATCGTTACAAGTTAAACCACAATCTCTTTGCAATACGGGAATATTGAATTTCAGTTCGATATATCAAACAATATCAATATACAATGGAAATCCGAGTTATCGAAGGTCGTTGTGCGCGTTACATAAATATTGCCTTACCGCAATTGTTGCGCAGTCCAAATCTACTTGGCTAGATCAAAAAATAACTGCGACTTCAACTATCCATAATTCATAAAACATGGAAAATAACGCGTATACGTACGTTTTATAAAGCTGCTAGAGGCAGAGTAACCTAGTAACGAAAATCATGATTTTCAATAAAATAAATGAGCAAATGTAAAAAATAATTAGTCTTCTTCTAAAAAGTCTTAACCAAAATTTATTCTATGTAAATTTAAACAAACGTACCTCTACTTATATCTTTTAAATTAAAGTACTTAAAATATTCTATAAATAACTATGGGTCTAAAATTAACATCGTAAGAAGACCTCCGGCATTGATTGTAAGTTACAACAATAAAATATTTCAGCTATAATCTTTGAATTGATTTATCGTAAGCCTTACAAATATGCAGCGATATTTCATACTTAGCGCGGTATTACGCAAACCATTGTAATCCGTTCTGCCTGGAATTTGCGATTTATTAAATCAATTGGGTTAAGCCATTAAGAAAATAGCAAGCAATGTATGGCCAATCTATACTAATATATAAAGCTGAAGAGTTTGTTTGAACGCACGTTTATCTCAGGAACTACGGATTCGAATTGAAGAATTATTATGTATGATATAATCCGTATTATCTTCATAATAACTACTTCTGTCTGTCACTTTAAGTATCATCCATGTTGCCTCACTGAAAAATGGCACTGCTGCTACTCTGTCGTTTAAATACACTTTTGACGGTTTGAAACTCGAACTATACTACATAACCAATTTAACAACGACCCAACGGATGCTTTGCAGCACCCCTAATCACTCTGTTGTTGCAGCAACAGC